GGTGGCACTTGTGGGAAAAAGCCAGTTGCGATGGTGGCTGTATTAGTCCTCCTTGGGAAGTGTTGCTCCACAGAAGTGCCTACCCAGCCTAGGCTGGGTTGCTCCACAGAAGTGCCTACCCAGCCTAGGCTGGGGAAGGTGACTCTGGAGATTTCCCAGTTTCTCTATTTTGAGCCTTTGAGGGGAGTGTAGGGAAAAGGAGCTGAAGTTCCTGACGAGTGTACACTCTTGCATACCCTGGTAGGAATTAGGAGGAAGTCCCAAGCTACTGGAGTAATGCTTCCCCTGGAGGCTGCTGGTGGACTGTGGTGCTGCAGGTGAAAGTCTGGCCAGTTCCAGCTTAGGTCAATGAATTTTTCTCTTCTTTATGGTTATTATTATTATTGCTACTTATTATTAATAAGTCGTTGGCAGTGCTGCTGGTTCCATTCCTATCTTGGTTTACTCCATGGAAGAAACTTATTCTAGCTGCCTCATGGCCATCTTAATCCTTAAACCTTTTTATTGAGACAGGTTCTCACTCTGTCACTCCGGCTGGAGTGCAGAGGTACATCATGGCTCACTGTAGCCTCAACTTCCTGGGCTCAAGTGATCATCCCATCTTAGCCTCCTGTGTAACTGGAACTACAGGCATGTACCACCACACCAGGCTAATTTTTTTATTTTTTGTGGTGATGAGGTCTCACTGTGTTGCCCAGGCTAGTCTGTTGAACTCCTAGACTCAAGCAATCCTCCCACTTCAGTCTCCCAAAGTGCTAGGTTTACCTATTTTATCAGTTCTATATAAGAAATACCCATAATAAGTTGGAATTGAAGAAAATAAATACATAATCCCAAACTTTTTACAAATATACTTCAAATAAGGAACATCGTGCTAAAATATTAACATCTTTGATACTGTGGGCCTGATTTGCCCATTAGATAGTATGTTCCCTTGTGTGCTTCTTCATTCTGACTTTAATGTTTTGAGTGATTTTGAAGCTATTTTCTGGGGCTAATTATTGATGCCAGGTTTTAACAGGCATTTTGGAAGACTCTGGTTGTTTTTTTTTTTTTGTGTTTTTTTTTTTTTTGAGTTGGAGTCTCACTCTGTCACCCAGACTGGAGTGCAGTGGCCACTCCCGGCCACCGCAGCCTCGACCTGCTGGGCTCCAGTGATCCTTCCGCCTCAGCCTTCCAAGTAGCTGGAATTACAGGCGCGTGCTACCACATCCAGCTAATTTTTTGATTTTATTGTAGAGATGAGGTCTTGCCTGCCCAGGTGGGTCTCGAACCCGCGGACTTGGGCAATCCACTCACCTCAGCCTCCCAAAGGCGTGGGATTACAGGCTGAGCCACCAAGCCTGGCTTAGACTCTGGTTGTTTTAAAAACTTTCAGAAACTACTTAGTAGGAATGGTTTAAGAGTTTTGCAAGAAATAATATTGTTGTTGTCCAGACTTTGAGGCCTATATCCCAACAAAAAATTCCTTTTGTAAACCTATTTATAGTTGCTTTGTCTAAAATTAGAAATAAGTTAGGAAACCCACTAATCTTATTTTCCTTTAAATTTCTCTAATTTGGCAATTTTTTTCTGTGTGTGTGTGTTTTATTTTGTTTATTTACAGATTCTTGCTTACAAAGAGTCTAGAAAATGTGCTTCTTGCTCTTGAGGGAACAACTAAAGTAATTTTGCTTCCATTTTTGTTGTCTTTTCTCTCTTTGTAAGTGTCTTGAGAAGAAGATCCCAAAAGCAGATGAACAGAAGACTATAGGCCTGGAACCCAGGAAAATGTAGATTTCAGTGCTCCTTATCCTCTAGCTTGCTATTTCACTAATCTAGGTGGACCTAGATTATCTTCATTTGACCTCTCTGACCTCAGTTTTCACACTGTAAAATGATGTGGCTAGACTAAATGTTTGATGTGTTTTTTTCCTTTCTAGCTCAAATTTTGTGATTTGAAGTGTCAATTATTTAATTAAAAAATGAAAGAACAAGCTGGGCTCGGTGGCTCAGCCTGTAATCCCGCGCCTTGGGAGGCTGAGGTGAGTGGATTGCCTGAGCCCGCGGGTTTGAGACCCGCCCGGGCAACTTGGTGAGACCTCATCTCTACAATAAATCAAAAAATTAGCCGGGTGTGGTAGCGCGCCTGTAGTTCCAGCTAATTGGAAGGCTGAGGCGGAAGGATCGCCGGAGCCCAGCAGATTGAGGCTGTGGTGGCCGGGAGCGGCCACCGCACTACAGTCTGGGTGACAGAGTGAGATTCCAACTCAAAAAAAAAAGAAAGAACAGTACAAATGACATCAGGAACCAGACGCTTTGGTTTTTAAGTGAGATGGGAGGGCACCAGAAGGTTTCGACAATGGTGGAATATAATCTTATCTATCATTTAAGCCCAGAAAAGATTAGAGTGGGTTAGAGGGTCAAGTAAGGAGAACAGTGGAAGAGAGACTAGGTGAGAAAGGAGTAGCTTGAAACTGGGTGTTATAGTAGTGTGGTATATTGTAAAGATATTGGTGTATTCTGAAGATGGTTCTGGTTGAGGGGAAGAGGGAAGGGAGAGCAGCAGGGAGAGTCCAGAGTGACTATAGGTTGTTTGTTGTTGTTGTTGTTGTTGCTGTTGTTATTTTTCTTATTCTTCTAAACCTCTTTTCTCTAATAATCGGCAGAATGGAAATACTCTTTTCTGAGGTTGGGAAGACTGCTCAAGAGTAGGTTTAGGGATGATGGGATGGAGGTGTGAACATCGAGAAGTTAGCCTTAACCTAGATGAGGTAAGTTGGAGATGCCGATTAGCCTCCAAGTGGAGATATTAAATAGTTAGATAATATAAGCCTATACAATTCAGGGGAGAGGTGAGGGTTGAAGATTTAACTTTGAGACTGTAAGCATAAATTAACTACTTGAAAGTCCTTCATATATTAATAACAATCAAAATGACTAGTGGAAAAAAATTAGTCCCCTTCTACCCACACACCAGTCAATGTTTACCTTTTTATATATGATTTATATGTAACTCATGCTCTCTTCCTGTTATTGATTATTATTTGACACTGAGATTTTTTTTTTTCCTTTTTAAAACCTAATTTTCTCTCATTTCCTTTGTGTTCTTTTTTATGTGAGAATAATTCTGAGGTTACTGAAGTGCCTGGCTTGATTTCAGGAATACGATGGTCATTATCATTTTGGCCTTTCCTCCCTGTTTTTCTTTGTCTCCAGCTGCAGTAACTTTTTCTCATTAAAACGTTTTAGCTGGATTGCTTGAACATGTTCCAGTTTTGTGAAGACATAAGCAAGTTGCTTTCTCTGTGAAGGCTTGGGAGAATGTGGTTACAAAGAGCAATTGAATCATAAGGCAGATGACAGTGATTCATTCCGTCTATCCCCCTGTTGTTCTTCTGTCCTCTTCACTTAGCATTTATAAACAGTCTTGCCTTTATTCTGCACAGTTTATATAGATTTAAACCGCCACTTATTTCTCCTATTTCTATATTAATATTTATATAAACTAGAAAATGCTTCAATCCCTTCCTTTAGTTTCTTTATTGCTCATGTCATTGCTCTTTTCCTGGCTGATTTTATTCTCTACTTAAAAAAATTTTAATCAACACATTGTAATTGTACATATTTATGGGATACAGTTTGATGTTTTGATACATATATGTCACAATTATCAAATCAGGGTAATTAGTGTATTCATTATCTCATGCATTTATCACTTCTTTGTGGTTAGAACATTCAAAAGCCTCTTTTCTAGCTATTTTATATATTCAATAATTTACTGTTAACCATCATCACCCTACTGTGCAATAGATCACCAGAACTTATCTATTTATTTAATTTTGTAAATGCCAACTTTTCCTTTAATATTTTCTTATATTATTTTGGGATAGCAGCACTATTAATCTGTTTCACTCCCTAAGGAGAAGATGACATGAGAAGAGCTGCTGACAGTACTTGGAGTAAAGGCTATGGCACTTCCGGGCTCTATGTTTATAGAGAAAACTTAAAGAGACCCCCAGTGAAGAGCTTTATTTTAATGCTGCCAAAACTGTCCCAAGGTAGTTCACATTCAGAATGGAGAAGCTAGGGTAAAGTCTGTACACGTTGTAAAGGAAAATAAGTCTCAGGACTGCTCAAACTCATTATGCTAAAGGGAAAGTTAAGCCTGGTGACTGCTGTCCTTTTCCCGCAACTGCCTTTTCCAGCATAGACAACTGCTACTTCCTAACCTCGAGTCAAAGTGTCACCCATCTGCAGAAGGCAGAAGGTGACTCCCGCCCTCACAAATGGCTCATAAGTACATTCTTTGCTGGCCCCTTTCAAGATGTATATCCTCCCATAAACAAGGACGTATCACTGTAACTTTAGGTTTGCATCCTAAGTCTGTCTACAACTAAAGTCTGTAAAATTTCTTACTGAATTACAAGCAAAGACAGAAGGAGACTAATCATTCCTCCAACTATCCTGATATTCTATATAAGTAACTATTCCTTTACTCCCTTTTATCTTATGTACAGTATAGGTTTACTTGGCACTAATTAAAATCTCAGGAGAATGTAACCATTTACCTGACTGCCTACCCCTTTTCCTGCTTGCCTTCTCTCTAAAGAAATGGGTAATACAGAGCTTCCTGAAACCTCTCTGAAAGCACAGACCAGGGACAATGCTGTGACTTGTGTTTTCCTGGGCATGCCCTCAATGTCTGGCTCAATTGATTGAGACTCTTGCTTCAGTCTCTAATTTGGCTTAACAGTATTCATTTTAGTTAATGAGTACATTTGAGTCCAAAATTGGAATTCTCTCAGTGTTTCGAGAAAATTCTAAGTTTGAATCAAGAAGTTTGCATATTTACTAGAAATGGCTTTTTCTGATGGAGCATAATCATTGCTTTAAAGCGCTGTGACTTCTGGGTGGCTGGGTGACGATGGCATTAGTTACTGCCTTCAATGTTAGAGAATGGTGGCCTTCATTGACTTGCTTTCTTTCCCCTCCCTCTTATCTACTTCCTGGAGAAACAGGACTGCAGGCACAGCCAGTAACAAGCTGTGGTATGCCTATCTGGCCCTAGCGACACTCATCATGTATTCCATTGCCACCGGAGGCTTGATTTTGATGGCAGTATTTTATACACAGAAAGATGGCTGTGTGGAAAACAAAATTCTTCTGGGAGTAAACGGAGGGCTGTGCCTGCTCATTTCAATGGTAGCTATCTCGCCCTGTGTCCAAAACCGTAAGCACATTTTTTTTCCATTCTTATTTATGTTTTTTTCTAAGTGTCTTTGAGCAAACCCACTGGGCATTTTTGGAAACTGGGGTCATTCTTTAACTTACTGTGTATGGGTCAGTAGGACAGGTGGGGCTCCAATCTCTTTATATCCCATTCTTGTGCTACATGTGATAGCCAAGCATGCCTTATGTACAGAAATACCAGAACTTAATGAAGTAAGTAAATGGAAGATACTGCCTCTGTTAAATAACGTACCACTAGGAACCTTATGGAATGCTCTTAGTGTATATTAAGCTTGTTGTTTATGAACTTGCCTATAATCTCTGTGTAAAACTTGAAAATGAGGGCTCTGGAAGGAGTTAGTTCTAGGGTCATCTTTTACTCAAGGCTGTGGATAGTGTGGTCTGGGAATCAGGAAGCAGGAAATCTGATGCTGGTTCAGCCAGCAGCTGGTCCTATAAGCTAACCTTCCCCATACTCAAGTTTCTCCTCAGTGAAGGCAACAGAAACATAGGAGCCTGGCCTGGTTCATGGTTGTTTCAAAGCCAAAAGGAAGAGACAGTGGGATCTGAAAATGCTTTAGGAGATATTAGATGTGATGTCATTTATAAACTACTCCTGATGTCTTAAGCCAGGATGCTATCTTTGGGTTTATAGAGAGATGTTTCAGGTCTGATGTGTCTTGTAGGTATCTTATTCAATATGTGACGGAAATGCACATGATCGTTCAGGTTCCTAGGTCGGAAAAAGAAAATATGGTAAATAAATGTATAGGAGTAACCTTATCTTTTCTTAAATAGTGGCTTAAAACGGTAATAATTTAAAAGGTTTTTTGGTACAAAAAATTTTAAGTCCATTATTGAAATTGAGAATAGTATTCCTCCCAGTCTCTTTAATTGATCAATAAAATCTTCTGTGGGTTGGATTCTACCTTTTGAAATAGGTATAATATTCTGAAATACTTGGTTTAATATCATAAGTTGCTAAAATAAGTCTTATTCCCAGGCCAAAGAGCATCATTATAAAAGGGTCTTCCTATGTCTTTATTTGTAATTGTAATTTAATAATGATAGTTCTGGAAACAAATTTGATTAGAGGAAAGACTGGGTAAAACTGATTTCTTTTATGTCAACAGATGGTTGAAGATCTCAAAAAAAGAGAAATCCCCTGACATATCCTGGTTACACTGAATGATCTGAATCTTTAGTTTAATTTAAATGTTGTAACATTAAAGCCCTTGTCCCAAAGAATGTTGAGTCCCATAGCCTTCCTCTTTAGCTTGGACCAGCTCTTGTATTAACTCAGTGTTCCCAAAGGTGTTTTGTCCATTAACAGATAGGAGCTTTTTGCCCCGTCATGGACTATGATAACCTTATAGAATCCAGAATATATGCCCTATGAATCTGTCTTATCATTGACCACACTAAGCTATGTGGTCTTATTTTATAAATAATAATAGTAAATTTTTTTTTCTGATCTTGTGATTTAAGAACTAAAATTATGAACCTCAGGGACACTAGGCAGTGTATGTAAATATAGCCACAAGTTTGATAAGGTGTTGGCGGAGAACTTGGCAGAACCTGGCATCTCTAGAATAGCAATGTTAAGCTCAGTGTATAAAACTGCCTCTCTCTTAATATGTTTTTAGTTTTAACTGAGAAACATTATGTACTGCCTCTTTTCCTTTCCTCTAAAGGTGAATTCTTAAGTGTGAGGAATATCATTGGGATGGGGGCTGAGGTGGAGGCGAGATCTATTTTTTGAGGCATGCACTCTCTTATCATTTATATTTAAAATCTGCCTTCAGTCTGTCTCTTGTCGTTTTCCAGGACAGCCACACTCAGGGCTTCTGCAGTCAGGAGTTATAAGCTGCTATGTTACGTACCTCACCTTTTCCGCTCTGTCCAGCAAACCTGCAGAAGTAGGTAAGCCAGCTCTGTTAGCGGGCATTTGTTTGTGGTGGGAATATTTTCATTTGTGGAGGAATACGCTATTGTTTAAATTTTTGAGATGTGATAAAGCACAGGAGAGAGACAATCTAGACTCTTTCATGAAATAAAGTCTTTAATTTGGGTTATGAAAATTAAAGTTATTTCTTTTGAAACTTGCTGGTGTATAGGAAAGATATGCACAAAGGTTAGCTGTTGAGTTTACTTTTAGTCCTAATCTGCGTTTGTGATTGCTCTGTGTCTTCAATGAACTTTTTTTTGTTTTTGTTTCTTCTTTAGTTGGTTATTAATTTCCTTATCTTTGGGTGATCATTTTTCTGACTGTAATAGAGAGAAAACATGAAGTGTCAGAAGCAGGGGACAGGCTCTGAGCCCATCTCTGCCATTTATTGGCCGTATGACCTCAAACTGCACATTTTAAATGACATTTAATTACAGAGACAACACAACATAGTGATTAGAGCATGAGCTTTAAAGCTGAACTGCCCGGGTTTGTAGTCTTTTTTTTTTCCCCCAGTGGAAGATTATAAATATATATAATTTTTAAATTCAGGATTAGGTATTTATACTTGTTATACCACTTAAGTAACTTGCACAAAGCTACTTACCTTCTCCCTTGATCACTTTTGTGATATATAAATGTAAATATATACACATGTACACATACACATAAGTACATATAAATGTGTGTATGTTTGGTTATATTTGCACTTATAGAAATAAAATTAAATGCAGTCTCTAAGAAAATTGAAGTTCTTTTTCTCTTTTAAATTTGGAAGACCTATTCAATAATAATTGTGAAAATTTTAGTGTATATACACATATATAGTCTTATCCTTTTAACTATTTATAGTGGCAAGTGATATAATTGGAAGTCTTGTAGTAAGTATAGTCTATGTTGGATTTAATTTTTTTTAAGCCCTAGCTTCACTCTGTAAGTTTTTTTAAATTTAGTCTCTTGAAAACTCTTTTTTGACTGTCTATGTATTAATTTTTGATTTTAACTTAATGAGATTTTTGTTTACAGTATTTTTTTAATGGTAGGTATCACAACAGAAAAAAACTTTAATTTTTAATTTCAGGTGGTCATACTTTTTTAATAAAAAACATTTCTCATAATTAACAACCTAATATTGCATCTCAAAGAACTAGAAAAATAATAAGAAAAAAAAACCAATCCAAAGTTAGCAGTAGAAAAGAAATGACAAAGATCAGAACATAATTAAATGAAATAGAGACAAATAAAATAATACAAAGGCTCAACAAAAGAAAAAATTGGTTTTTTGAAAAATTGATAAATTTCTAGCTACACTAACCAAGGAAAGAAGATACAAATTAACACAATCAAAAATGAAAAAGACACTACCACAGAAATAGAAAAGATCGTCAAAGACTATTATAGACATCCATATACTCATGAACTAGAAAATCTAGAGGAAATGGATAATTCCTGGAAACATACAACCTCTCAAGTTTGAGCCAGGAAGAAATAGAAATACTGTTCAGACCACCAACAGACAATAAGATTGGATTGGTAATAAAAAGTCTCCTGACCAGGCACAGTGGCTCACTTCTATAATCCCAGCACTTTGGAAGGCCAAGGTGAGAGGATTGCCTGAGCCCACAAGTTCAAGACCAGCCTGGGCAACTTGACGAGATCTCATCTCTACAATAAATAAAAAAATGAGCCAGGCATGGTGGCACATACCTGTGGTTCCAGCTACTTGGTAGGCTGAGGCAGAAGGATTGCCTAAGCCCAGCAATTCAAGGCTGTGGTGGCTGTGAGCATGCCACTGCACCCCAGTCTGCTGACTCACTCCAGATAGAGTGAGACACTGACTCAAAAAAAAAAAAAGTCTCCTGACTGGGTTCAGTGGCTCACATTGGTAATCCCAGAGCTTTGGGATGCCAAGAAAGAGAGGATCACTTGAGGCCAGGAGTTCAAGACCAGCCTGGGCAACATAGCTAGACTCCTGTCTCCAAAAAAAAAGTAAAAATTAACTGGGTGTGGTAGTGCATACCTATTGTTATAGCTACTTGATAGACTGAGGTAAGAGGATTGTTTGAGCCCAGAAGTTGGTGGTTGCAGTGAGCTGGGCTACAGAGTGAAATCTCATCTCTTAAAAAAAAAAAATCCCAGGACCAGATAGATTCACAGCCAAATTCTACCAAACACACAAAGAATAACTAATACCAGTTCTCCTGAAACTGTTAAAAAAAAAAAAATTGAGGAGGGAACTCTTCCTAACTCATTCTGTGAGACCAGTATCACCTCATAGCAAAACCAGATAAGAGCACAACAACAAAAACCAGTATCCCTGATGAACATAGACACAAAAATCCTTAACAAAATACTACAGTATATCAAAAAGGTTGTACACTATGATCAAGTGGGTATTGTACCAGGAGTGCAAAGGTGGTTCAACACACGCAAGTCAATACATGTGATTTATCACATAAACAGAGTTAAGGACAAAATCATAAGATCATCTCAATAGATGCAGAAAAAGCATATGATAAAATTCAGCATTCCTCCATGATAAAAATCCCCAACAAATTTGGCATAAAAGGAAAATACCTGAAAATAATGAAGGCCATATATTACAAACCCCTAGCCAACAGCATACTGAATGGGGAAAAGTTGAAAGCATTCCCTCTAAGAACTGGTACAAGACAATGATGCCCACTTTCACCACTCCTATTCAACATACTACTGGAAGTCCTAGCTAGAGCAGTTAGGAAACAGAAAGAAAGAAAAGGCATCCAAATTGGAAAAGAGGAAATCACATTATTCTGTTCACTGGTGATGTGATGTTACATCTAGAAAACCTTGAGGATTCCCCTAACAGACTCTTAGATTTGGTAAATGAATTTTGTAAAGTTAGGATACAAAATCAATGTACAAAAATCAGCAGTGTTTCAGTACACCAATAACAGTCTAGTGAAGAACCAAGTCAAGAAAGCAATCTAATTTACAATAGCTACAAAAAATACCCTGGAATATATTCAATCGAGGAGGTAAAAGATCTCTGCAAGGAAAATGACAAAACACTGATAAAAGAAATAGTAGATGACATAAACAAATGGAAAAACACCCTATGCTTATGGATTGGAAGAATTAATATTGTTAAAATGAATATACTGCCCAAAGCAATCTACAGATTCAAAAATGTGATCCTTATCAAAATACCAGCATCATTTTTCACAGAATTAAAAGAATCCTAACATTTCTGTAGAGCTAAAGAAGAGTCCAATTAACCAAAGCAATCTTGAGCAAAAGGAATAAAGTTGGAGGCATCACATTGCCAGACTTCAAATTATACTACAAGGCTGTAGTAACTAAAACAGCATGGTAATGTTATAAAAATAGACAGATCAGTGGAACAGAATAGAAACCCAGAAATAAAGCCACATACTTACAGCCAACTGAACTTTGAAAAGTTGACAAAAACATACACTGGAGAAAGAACACCCTTTTCCAGTAAATGGTACTGGGAAAATTGGATTGCCAGATGTAGACACTTGAAACTGGACCCATAGCTCTCACCATATACAAAAATTAACTCACAATGGGTTAACGACTTAAATGTAAGATGTGAAACTATAAGAATACTAGAAGAAAAACTAGGGAAAACTCTTCTGGATGTTGATTTAGGTAAAGACCAAGACCTCAAAAGCATAAGCAACAAAAACAAATATTGACAAGTGAAACTATATTCAACTCAAAAGTATCTGCACAGCAAAAGAAAGAAATCAAGAGTGCTCAGACCGCCTGCAGAATGGGAAAAAATATTTGCAAACTGTTCATCCAAAACTTACAGGGGTAAAATCCAAAACTTACAAGGAACTCACACAACTCAACTATAACAAAAAAGAAAACCCAAATAATTGCATTAAAAAGTAGGCAAAGGACACAAAAACACGTTTTTCAAAAGATTTACAAGTGGCCACCAGGCTTATGAAAAACTGCTCTACATCACTAATCATCAGATAAATGCAAATTAAAACCACAATGAAATATCATCTTATACCAGTCAGAATGGCTACTACTTAAAAGACAAAAAAATAACAGATTTTGACAGAGAAAAGGGAATGCCTATACAGTATTGGTGGGAATGCTAATTATATATCATTGTATAATTTCTATGGAATGCAGTATGGTGATTTTTCAAAGAACTAAAAATAGGCCGGGCTCAGTGGCTCAGCCTGTAATCCCAGCACTTTGGGAGGCCGAGGCGAGAGGATTGCCTGAGCCTGCGGGTTTGAGACCCGCTCGGACAACTTGGCAAGACCTCATCTCTACAATAAATAATTTTTTAAAAAAATAGCCAGGCGTGGTAGTGTGCACCTGTAGTTCTGACTACTTGGAAGGCTGAGGCGGAAGGATCGCCGGAGCCCAGCAGGTTGAGGCGGTGGCCAGGAGCATGCCACTGCACTCCAGTCTGGGCGACAGAGTGAGACTCCAACTCAAAAAAAAAAGAACTAAAAATAAAACTACCATTTGATCCAGCAGTCCCACTACTGAGTGTATACCCCAAAGAAAAGAAGTCATTATATCAAAAAGATACTGTATTTGTATGCTTATTTGCAGCACTATTCACAATAGCAAAGATAAGGAATCAACATAAGCATTCATCAGTGGATGACTGGATAAAGAAAATTTGGTATATACAACAGAATACTATTCAGCCATAAAAAGAATGAAATGTATTTTGCAGCAATATGGGTGGAACTGGAAGGCATTATCTTTTTTATTGTTTAGAGACCGAATTTCACTCTGTTACCCAAGGTGGAGTGCAATAGCATGATCATGGCTCACTACAGCCCCAGACTCCTGGGCCTCACACCTCAGTCTCCCAACTAGCTAGGACTACAGGTTTGCACCACCACACTCAGTTAATTATTTTTATTTTTATTTTTGTAGAAATGAGGTCTCACTGTGTTGCCCAGGCTGGTCTTGAACTCCTGGGCTCAAGTGATCCTCCTGCCTTAACTTCTCAAAGTGTTGGGATTACAAGCCTGAGCCATGTACCTGGTGAGGCCATTATCTTAAAAGGAACAACTCAGACACAGAAAGGCAAATACCATATGTTCACACTTATACGTGGGAGCTAAATTATGTGTACCCATGAACATAGTCTGCAGTGATAGACTATGGAGACTCGAAAAAGCAGTGGACGTCAGTGGGTGATGAGAAATTACTTAATGGATATGATAAATATTATTCAAATGACGAATCCCTTAAAAACCCTGACTTCGCCGGGCTCGGTGGCTCAGCCTGTAATCCCGCGCCTTTGGGAGGCTGAGGTGAGTGAATTGCCTGAGCCCGCGGGTTCGAGACCCGCCTGGGTAGCGAGACCTCATCTCTACAATAAATCAAAAAAATCAGCTGGGCGTGGTGGCGCATGCCTGTAATTCCGGCTACTCGGAAGGCTGAGGTGGAAGGATCGCCGGAGCCCAGCAGGCCGAGGCTGCGGTGGCCGGGAGCGGCCACTGCACTCCAGTCTGGGCGACAGAGTGAGACTCCAACTCAAAAAAAAAAAAAAAAAAAAAAAAACCCTGACTTCACCACTACACAGTCTATCCATGTTAAAAAATTATTCTTCTACCCCATAAGTTAATATCAATAAGAAAAATAAAGATTCACCGGGCTCGGTGGCTCAGCCTGTAATCCCGTGCCTTGGGAGGCTGAGGTGAGTGGATTGCCTGAGCCCGCGGGTTCGAGACCCACCTGGGCAACTTGGTGAGACCTCATCTCTACAATAAATCAAAAAAAAAAAAATTAGCCGGGTGTGGTAGTGTGCGCCTGTAGTTTCAACCACTTGGAAGGCTGAGGCGGAAGGATCACCAGAGCCCAGCGACTCAAGGCTGCGGTGGCCAGGAGCGGCCACTGCACTCCAGTCTGGGTGACAGACTGAGACTCCAACTCAAAAAAAAGAAAAAGAAAAAAAAAGATTCTTTTAATCACAGTGTACACGATTATGCTTACTGTTTCAGGTACAACTACCTGCAATCATTGTATTAACTTCAGTCACTTAGGAAGTGCATGTTTTTATAATGGTTTCGAGAATTTTTTTTTTATGTTTATGTTCTTTGTTTTTGGGCAAAGTTGGCAATCAGACCTAGCTTGGGTGTTCAAAATGGAAAACTCCATGTTAGATAAAAGGTAAGCAACCATAGATGGTAATATAGATATCTTTGTTATGTAGTATGTGCAAAAACTCAAACCATTTTCCCTCCACTCTTGACACCACTCTTCTATAACAACAAAATATGTGGAGTTTTTTTTCCCACGAGCAAGCAAGCAGGCAGTTCTGCAGCAAACACCAGCTGAATGTCCTCTGATTCATTTCCAACACTATCTATCTAGATAGCATGCGTTCCACAGGTTGAGGGCTCAGTCTCGTAAGACCACCCCTCCTTCAGACACCAGTCACAAGTCTGGCCCTCCAGAACTTCTGACTAACTAGCTTTAGGTTGAGATTCACATGACCTCCTCTTTGGGTTTGATTACTTTGCTAGAGCATTCACAGAACTCAGGGAAACCCACTTGCTAGTTTATTACAAAAGATATTTTAAAGTATGCAAATAAACAACCACGTGAAGAGATGCACAGGGTGAGGTCTGGAAGGGTCCAGAGCTCTGTCCAGATTATTAGCTCTTCCTTTCTTAAACTTTTTCTTCCCGAGTCTGTTAATGTTGGGCTTTGGGGAGAAATGGCAGCACCATCAGCTAACTTCATGATCTGTCCCTCAGTTGTTTCTCTATTGGCATGTAAAAATGTTTTATAAATCAAGTGTCCCCCAGGAGTTCAAGTGTGCCACCCGCTATGCACGTGGATGAGTTTTTATTTACCTTTCTGTCAGCCTCCACATGTTCTGGTCTCCAGAAGCTCCCTGCGCCCTGTCCTTTTGTGCCTTTTATAGAGACTTCATTACATAGTCATGATTGATTAATCATTAGCTATTGGTGATCAACTTAACCTTCATCCCCTCTTTCATCTCCCCTCCCCCGCTGACTGTGGAAGTGGGACTGAAAGGCCCAACCCTCTAATTCTGCCTTGGTCTTTCTGGTGACCAGCCCCATCCTGAAGCTGCCCTGTTGCTGCTGGCCATCAGTCAGTAACTAAAAACAAAATACCTCACTTTGGAGATTCCAAGGTTGTTAGGAGTTCTATGCCAGGAAAAGGAAATGAAGACCAAATATATATATTACAGTATCACATGTCACCTCTCAATTTTTAAAAAAATTCAGACAACCTCAGGAGCTTCCCAATTACAGACTGAGATGTCATGTCCATCATTATCACCTGCAGTAAAAGGACATCTTCCCTGGGTCAGAGGCTGTTGTTGGTTTTCAATTTGCCTCCACACTCCTAGATATCTGCACACTACCCCTCTCTCCAGGGGCTGCTGAGTCAACTGAAAAATGAATCTGGCATGTCTTTTAACTGTTGTTTAAATAATTCTGAAAAAGAGAAAGTCTTGGATCTGTTGAACCCCTTAATACTCAACAATACCCCTTAATACTCTGTAAGTCTTGGATCTGTTGAGCCCCTTAATACTGAACTGAAACCTGAGGGTTTGTTCCAAGTGTGTGCCAATGTGGGTACATGGTTCTTTGAAATAGCAGAAATCCTGTCTATGTCGAAGCAGATGGTAGTGTAGAGGTTTCCAGTGGGAAGTGTTCACTGTTCTAAGGAGGTACCCCAAAGCTACTTGAATCTTCCTAAATGAATGCTTCTCTGAGTTACAACCACCTTTTCTAATTTGACTATGATTACTTTGTATTTTCTTTCCAAGTTCTAGATGAACATGGGAAGAATGTTACAATCTGTGTGCCCAACTTTGGTCAAGACCTACACAGAGATGAAAACTTGGTGGCTGGACTGGGTACTGGCCTCTTGATTGCATGCATCGCATATTCATGGTAAGTCTTAGGAGTTACTTAACACCATTTTTGCAGACTTTAAAATTACAGAAAAGAATTTAAGTTTCAGTAGCTGTGAGGCAGCAAAACAAATACCATCTTAGGAAGGGAAAAAACAGCCACAAGTAAAAGGGTAGTATTACAGCATGAACTCTAGATCTTTGAGCTTCATTTACTTACTTGCATTTATATAAGGTAAATAAAATAAATATATGGTATGCTACAGCATCATTGCCTAACACCATTTAAAGGGTGGTTGAATAGTAGTTGCTACAGCATTATTGGAGGGCGCAGGAGCACAAAGTGAGGAAGAGATAGTATGTGCCAGAATGTCCTGGCTTTCTAATTCAAAGGAAATAGCATTCTGTTGTGGAAAGAGTACAAAGTGCTACACACATGGTCATTGTGTGCCAGGTCTAGGAAAGACAGGAAATGTCACTTTTTTTGCTAAAACCCACAGTGCTGTTGCTTCATAGACAAAGCAGCAGACTGTATTACAAGTGCTTATGATGGGAGTTATTCCACCTTTAAAAAGTTTGAGATGGCTAGAGGGAGAAAAGTCAAGGATGGCAATGGGTAGTTACTTATTCTGGGTAAATATTTTATTGATAATTTAGCTTCCCTTTGACGGTAACCTTTTCACATTTAGCTCTTCTATGTTTATGTTTTATGTTTCAGTATAAAAAATTCAACTTGTCATAGGCACATTATAATCTTTTACTGAAATTAAACAATTCCAATGGTGATAGCTTTTATAAATTCAATGTCTTTCCGAGGATATTAGTATTTTCTCTTAGAGCTTTTGATAGTTCCTATTGTTAGAAAAGGGGCAAAAATGACATGGCCTTTTGGAGTTATGCATCAAGCCACAAGTTGCTTTCTGTGTTGCAGGTGGTTGTTGAGATTTTGGTGGCATACATGAATGCTCAGTCTGCCTCTGACATAGTGACAGAGTCTCCTTGTTACAGCAGAAGGGATGGTGGTGACCACTTTCTGGTCTCTCATTTTTATAAGTTCCATAAATCGTTCACTGAGTACCTGTAACATAGGAAGCAGTGGGTAGAATTCAGGCTGAACTTAACTCAGTAAAGCCATAAACCAAGATTTGAATCCCAATGGTTAGCTCTTCCTTTCTTAAACCTTCCCTTCCTGAGTCTGTTAATGTTGGGCTTTGGGGAGAAGTAGCAGCACTATCAGCTATCTTCATGATCCGTCCCTCAGTTATTTCTGTATTGGCATGTAAAAATGTTTTGTAAATCAAGTGAGGACAAAGTAGGTTACCAAACTGTGTATATGGAATTTTTACATTTTTAAGATAAAATATTGTTGTGTTTATGTGTATAGCAAAACTCCTATTAGGAAATAAACCAAACTTGTAATAGTGGTGGTATTAGGGATAACTTTTTAAAAAATCTTTTTATTCTAAAAAAAAATTTTTTTACAGGGGGCTAAAATTTTATTTTCTTCACTTTTGTATTAACAGAATAGTACTGAATAATAGTATTCAAAAAAATGCCTTCAATACATGTCAATACCTTCAAAAAAAAAATGAAGGTATTGGACAGAATAAAATCGCGTTTTTGAGGGTTGATGGGTACCTAACAACATATGAAAAAATGTTTCCCCTCAGATAAGATAGAGTTCAGATTTGCCATAAACCCATCAATGGAAAGGATGGCAAAAATTCTACTTCATGTGCTGCATAGTATTGCCACATTTTGCAGTGGGGAATTTTCACCCTATCAGATTTTCACTGTTTCTGGCAGTTGTAAAGAATCACTCTGTAGCCACGCTTTTAAGTTTGTCCATAAGTGAGAGATGATAAAAACAATTTTGTTTGTGTATGTTCTGGGCCTGCACCTTTAAGGACAAAAAGAAGGGGAGAGATTTGTATATGTATTTTGAAAGTCCTGCCCCTGACTGAACTGCCAGCTAGAAATCTTCACGGCTCTGTGCCAGGGTCATGGCATGCCCCCACCCCAACTGGATTGTATGATGGAATAAGGTTGAGTTTTCTCACACAAAGTCTGGGACTATAAATGCATAAGGGAACCTGCTGTTCCCCATGGGAAAGCTTGGATACATTCTTAGAGATTTCCTGTGATCCAGCAGTCTTTGGTCAGCTCCAGAAGCAGCTAGCTGCAGCTCTGGTGCTGAGAGGCACTGCATTGTGCATCCTTCTCCCATTGTGGAAGGGTCCTGGGCACTGCAAAGGTTTTTTTTGGGGGGGGGGGTGGGAGGAGGAGGCATTGGTTTTGGCTGCCATAGTAGCTGCAGGACATTTTGTGGGTGGGGGCCAGAGACAGTAAACACCACAGTGTAGTAGACTTCACCATTCAATAGATAAAGATGTCTCAACCAAATATCATTGATATTCCTCCACCCCCATAGGAAATACTGGGCTAAAGTCATACATACCTTAGCTCTGAAGAGATGAGATTATAGATGACCCAGGAATTGTTTTATACAGACACACACACACACACACACACAACACACATATATATCAATGTGTGCTGACCAAACAGATGGGTCTTTGTAATAGCCTGAATGCAGACAACAAGAATTTCCTAGGCTTGAAGAGCATATAAAAAACAATTTTTTCTTGGTGATTCCAAGAATTGTGTTTTATATGGGGAGGCTACAACTGAATTAAAGACCTTAATTTAGGGTAATATCTACTTGTAGAAATCAGTAGTGCTAGTAATGAGCTGAATGTAGATAATTTTAGAAGTAAAAAAAAGAACCTTCTCTATTTTAGTGCTCTTTGATGGTGAAATAAAGTGGCAAAGGTAGAATCAAGAGCTTTGTTTGTCGGAAACCATTTTAATCCAAAGAATATATAAAATGGAATATTTATTCTAACTTTTAAAAGAATGAACGTCATCTTTCATGATAAAAATTTCAGATACTGATCTCTTCTTAAAATTAAAATTCACGTTTCTCCCCATGGAAACTACATATTATAAAATCATAATTAGTTTGCACAGAATATGGGCTACTCTTAGATGCAGGAACAGGTGTGTGTTCTCTGTACACACAGTCATTGGGAAATGCTTCTGTCATTTCTCTGACCAGGCTGAGAGTCAGATGCTATTGAACCTGAGTGGACCACAGAAAAGCCATTCATGGGGATCCAATTGGACCTCTTTGTGAAGAGGCTTTTTATTGTTTATCTGCATCTCATTGATCTTTTTCTTCTTAAGAAAGGATGGGAATGTACAGGGAAGGCATAGTTGTTCTGTAGGGTTCATTTGGTGGAGATGAAGTTCCATCTCACCTGTCCACAAGCAGGAACACCCCGTCCCCAAATTCAGGCCTGCTTGTAGCTACATGAAGGCAGGATTCATGCCCTTTTCACCAATGAATCCCCCGTGCTTAGGACAGGGCCTAACACATGATAGGCCTTCAGTCAATATTTGCTAAATGAATATTAGCTGGAACCCCAAGTATTGTTTATATTTTTATTTGCTTAAATTTTTTCCATGTTTTTGTTTTCAGGAAAAATATATTCTTTTTATTTAAGTCAAATAGTCTAACATTTTACTTCTCTAGATATGGGGAAAATGATAGGAAGAAATTTTTTTATTACACTGACAGCTCTCTATGTTAAATTTCCAAACAGAAAACCTTGTCCCACCATACATAGGCTGGCTATAGCGTAAATAACTGTTACCTTGACTTTTGTGTCCTTGCTTTCCCTTGCCATTTCTGGGTTCTCTCATTGCTTTTGAGTCTCTCTAAGTGAGATTAGTCAAAGAGAAGGAAAGATAAAAGTACAGTTAGAACATTATGCTGGCATTTGAGGGAGGGGAAGCAAAATTCAATACTGAAAACAAAGGCATAGGACCAAAATATATTTTGGCTGCCTTCTTCTACCTACAAACTTCTCTTTTCATCAAGTGATCTAATGGATTCCATGAGAAAACACATCAGCTGTAGAATCAGCCAATCAGTGTTGGAGTCAAGTGTGATGTCAAAGTAGACTGTTTTTACTGAGGCAGCCTGGATATGGCTTCAGGAGCCTCTTGCTGGAGCATTTGGCCAGCCAGCTCTTCCTTTGTTCATGTGGTGTAACATGTTCACATGCCCTGCTGACTTTTTTGTTTGTTTCTTAGTCTGACATCAACAACCAGATCGAGTTCTGATGCTCTGCAGGGGCGATATGCAGCTCCTGAACTGGAAGTAAGTTCATTTCCTTTTCCTGTCCTTCATCTCAGAAGACCCATTTCTCAGGGGGCCCCTTTGTATTTATTTGTGTCTTTATCAGTCTGGATTCCATGATCCTGTTTTTCTGCTCAGGAAAAAAGAAATGGACCTTTGTACAGAAAAAGGTTTTTCTGTGTATACTATGGAGAAAATGAACAATTCTTGATTTCCCTCCAACAAAGTTGGCCTCATGTGTAGCAACCTGCTGCCCACCCCTGTCCCCAGAGGCTCAGAAACCTGTCAGGCTGCACCCTGCTCTTTACCTCTGTTGTGATGGAGTGAAGGTCTAGTCTATCATCTGTTTTCTACCTGTCTGTGCCCTCCATACACAGCATGTCTGAGATTATGTAATAGCTGTTCTGAAGGGAAGAGAAAGAAAAGAAAGGAAGGAACTGCATCTGTTCTGTGCCAGATACTGTGCTGTACTTAGCAGATACATCAACTTGTTTAACTGGGCATTAGTTTCATCAGGTGGGCATCTCATGGGGAAAAGAAGTATCAACAATAAATACATTTGTTTCAGGCTAGTGAGGCCCTTTACCTGCACCGTGAAAGACTCAGTGTTCGGCAGATGCCTATCGGTCAGCAAAATGTCTGTTATTAATTATGCTAAAGTTTTTCTGATGCTCTCAATGTAACATCCATTAAGGTCAGAAAGGTCAAGTCAGATGGAGGCAGCCAGGAAAAGACTCAGCCCTGGACCCAAGATTGGAAAGAACCAGGGGTTCCAATGGTGGCTGAAGCCTATATCACTTGGCTGCGTGCCAAGTACCATTCGAAACTCTTCATATGTGATTTCATTTCATTCTTACCAAAACCTAGTGAGATGCTGGGAAGAAAACAGAAAAGTGAAGTCATTTACACCTTGCAGTTTTGATTTGCCAGGATGTAAACCGTGCACTCTGATCCAGAGTCTGTTCTTGACTACAACTGCTAGAGAGCTCAGCTGCTGAACTGCCTGGTGTCCGGCCACTGGCTGCATTCTATTAGCTTTCTCTGGATGGAAAAGCCCTGGAATCTGTCCAGATATGAGCACTTTACTATGCAGCTGGGTGTCTGGGGATGGTCTTTCTTGCACCTGACCTATAGATAGGGACCCGTTATGAAGGGTTGTCAGTCTGCCAGCATCATTCACCAGCTCTTTCTGTTGCTTAAAGGAGAAAATTGTGCTGAGTTTGAATAGGTTTCTGCCTATTGCGCAGAAGAGAATGGTCTCTAGAAGGCAGGCATTTGTTCTCTCCACTGACTGGGTAGCCACCTGCTGAGGTTGTATGGTTATGATTTCAATGTCCCTATTGTATACAGAGTTCAAGCTCAAAGAACAGCAAGTCTCTATGTTAGATTTAAGAGAGGATGTTTTTCTTCTCAGTCCACGGGAAAACATCCCAGGGTTTTCTTCTGAACTGGAGAGTATGCAGGATGGAAGTTGGTTTGTTCTCCTGCATCATGTTTCACAGGATACACCTTTGAAAGAGAGTTAATAGTTTTTTGCAGTAACTTAAGCTTCAAAAGAACTAGGACCTCAGCACACCATGTCTTGGACCCACTAAATGAATTAGTGATTTTTAGACCATGCTACTTGATCCAAGGTCCTGTAGAGGCAAATACCTCTATTACAGGTTTCCTCGCCAAGCAGGAGACCAAGGACTTGGCCTTGAGATATATAAATAAGATGAAGGCTTAAGCTCCCATATCCTCGCCTGTGGTTCTCTGTCCTTTGTAGTTCAAATATCTTCAAGGAGAAAGTGCTAAAGGACTGTCTCTTCCCATATTGTCTTGATACTTAGTATGTTTCTTACTCTGTTTATGAGTCCTTCTGGAATCATGTACTGGTTTTTCATAACCCGATAGCTTAAAATTAAGTTTATTGTTTTGAGTAGGTAAGAAATGATGAAATGAAATTTGAAAGGTAGCAAAGATGCTTGAGAGGCAAGTATCCCATCCACCCTATACACAGCCAGTGAAGGGGCTTGGTTTTAACAGGAAATGTGAGTAGGCCTCCTGCTTCCAAATTTCATAGTTTTACTATTTTGAATGCTATGGACTTTACCATCTCCTAGACATCATGTGTCATCTATTGTGAATCATGGACCTTGGAGTCCCCATCCTTCATGTATGTGTTCTAGCTCTGTCCCTAAGCTAGTTTGATAATGTTGGTCAGTTATTTGCCTGACCTCAGTTTCCTCAACTGTAAACAGGATGGTAATCCCAACCTCAAAAGTTGAATAGGAGTTAATGAAGCAGCATGTAAAGGAAAGCACTGGAAGGGGACACCAGAAGAGAGGGTCTCTCGTCTTGTTCATTGTGTGTTTCACATCGAGTTCTCCAGAAGCAGAAGCTGAAGCAGAGTTGTTGTATGGAAGGTTTATTAGCAATCAGCATATGTGGAAGGGAGAAAGGGGAAGGAGGCAACATTGGGCAGAGGTTGAAGTTGAAGGTCAATGCAGCTGGACAAAGCCTTACTATCCTCAATGGTGCCTCAGAACATATGTGACCCATCAAGAGTTGTCCTCAGGGGTCATAATAGCTGGGCCTCTCTACCCCGGCTGTCTTTAGTCATTCAATGGGGGCTACCCAGGAAGAGTAAAAGAGCTCTCAGCACTCCTGTAGCGGGAGCAAGCACCAAGTCCCTGGAAGGGCTTTGGGTGACACACTTGGAAAGCACAGACACTTAGTCAAAATATTTTGAAGGAATAAGTGCAGTTTAGAACCTGGTATGTGGTTCAAATAGGGGAAGGTTTGGCATGGCGGTGGCCTCTTGTGCTTACTGATGTGGAGATAGAAAATAGAAAACAACCTGCCTGACTTGGTTGCTTTGTTTTCACAGGTAGCTCGGTGCTGTTTTTGCTTCAGTCCCAATGGAGAGGGTAAGCAGAGCACTTTTATTCTTTGCAATCTATGTGGTCCTGCAAACCTGTAACTCTAATCTGTAGGCATTTGGGATTCAGACGCAAATAACTTGAATGGTAAGGGAAAAACTTTTATTCTGAAGCTGGTTTACTGTTTATATAATTTTCACATTCTTCCTCAAAAGTTGTTGGGCTTTGTTTGTGTTGTTATTCTGCAGGAAGAAGCAGTCTATATCTTGGCTCATATTGAACTTATGCAGTCAGATTTAGAGAAACAGAAAGTGTGTTTTTTTAAAAGAAGGATTTGGAAAATACCAAGAGGTCTTGGCACCTTATTTTGGGACCATTTCTTTCCCTAAGCTTACTTTCCTTCTTGGATTGGAGGATCCCAATGACTTGAGAGCTCTCTCTTGATTTACTCTTTTACTTTCTGCTGAACTTATAAGTTTTGTGTTTTTAAGGGCTCTCTTTGCTCTGCTCTGTTAAAATAAATGTGAGGCTGGGTGCAGTGGCTCTTGCCTATAATCCCAGCACTTTGGGAGGCTGAGGTGGGATGATAGCCTGCGCCTACGGGTTCGAGACCAACCTGGACAACTTGGCAAGACCTCATCTCTCCAATAAATAAACAAAGTAGCCGGGCATGGTGGCGCATGCCTGTAGTTCCAGATCCTTGGAGGGCTGAGGTGAAAGGATCGCCTGAGCCCAGCAGGTCGAGGCTGCAGTGGCCGTGAGCGTGCCACTGCACTCCAGCCTGGGCAAAAGAGTGAGACTCTGACTCAAAAAAAAAAAAAATGTGGCATTAGGAACTCTTCTTGTTACTGAAGTAATTGGGATGGGGTGGGGACTTTGTACTCATGGCACAGATTAAAGTTGCCTGAGGGTCTAAAATGCCTTTTTGATATCTTTTCTACTGGACAACCCCTGAGATTGGAGTTAGTGTTAGTGAGTGTGGCTTTGCTAAACATACAAGTGCATGGGTTTACTTACCAAGCTTGAGTGCTCTCTCTGTGATTCACAGATTCTGAAGAGCAGCAGAACGTGAAGGAGGGACCACGGGTCATCTATGATGAGAAGAAAGGCACTGTCTACAGCTATTCCTACTTTCATTCTGTATTCTTCTTGGCTTCCCTCTACGTGATGATGACCATCACCAGCTGGTTCAAGTGAGTGGCCAACTTGCTTAGACTTTTTTGAAGGAGAGTCTTAAAGTTAAGATTTAAGTACTATTCTTTGAAGTGCTGAAACATAGAACAAGTCTCCCAGAGTCACCTAAATCTTATCTAAGTCCTGCTGCACTCATAACCTTTACAGGAAACAGTTCTGAGTTCTTACCTGTTTATTGGTATGTTTTAACCCTGGAAATTGGTGATATGTACTGCAAGTGAAGGGTAGTTCCATATGGGCAATCTGGAAAATGTAGTAGTCATGAAGGGGAAATTTGAAATTCTTAAGCAATCATCTGCTTTTAAGAGAGAGGAAATATCCTTTTTTTCTACTTCAAATTTCATGTCTCTTTTCCCCCATTTTTTTCTATACTTTCATTCAAAAATTTAAAACATCTTTAAAAAAAAACAAACTAATGTGGAATTATGAGGAGTAACAAAATGACACCCCCCCCCACAGATAACCACTGATGTGGTGTGTTTCTTCTCACTCCTTTTCTATGCATTTACAAACGTATGTGACTTTTTTAAAAACATAAATGCCATTTCATATGATTCCTCTTGAGTTTTTTTTAAAACTTGGCAGCACACGAGGGGCCTGGCTTTCCCTGTCCCTACACAGAGATTCATATTTTTTCTGCAGATCAAAGTTTCTATTGTACCATAATTTGTTCGACTGATAAATTAGGCTCAGCCCTTCAGGCTCATTGTGCTTCCTCTATTCATTCCTTCCTCAGATTTGCAGGTGGCTCCTATGTGCCTTGCTGTTCTAGGTGCCCAGGCACATAGATAAGTGGGAGAGACTGATCATGACACAAGTTGAATATAGTGCGTCTGATGGTGATGAGTGTGAGGAAGGAAAAGAAAATGAGGAGAAAGAGGAATGGGGGGGCAGGCGGTTAGTAGAGTGGTGCAGGGCAGTTTCAAGCCGAGTGACTGGGAGAGACTCCATTTGAGGAGATTCTTCCTAAAGGAGGAGAGGGGGAAGGAATTTTCAGTGCTTAACAGTGATGCTTTGAGAATTCTTGGGAAATCTTGGCTTGGGTGAAGCGTCAGAAAGGATGAAGGGAGCTATGCTTTAAAAGACAGATAACAACAAATGTTGAAGAAGTGGAGAAATTTGAACCCTCTTAAACTGCTGGTGGGAAATAAAGCTGCTTTGGAAAACAATATGGCAGTCACTTAAATGGTTAAATAGAGTTACTATAGGATCTAGCCATCCACTTCTAAGGATATATCCATGACAAAAAGAAAAATACGTTCACACAAAAACTTATACACAAATGTTCATAGCAGCATTATTTATAATAGTCAAAAAGTAGAAACAGCTCAAATGTTCATCAGCTGGTGAATGGAAAAATAAAATGTGCTCTACCCCTATGAGAAAATATTATTTAGCAATAAGAAGGAATGAAGTACTGACCTGTGCTACAAATAGGTAAGCCTGAAAATAGTATGCTAAGTAAACAAAGCCAGTCACAAGAGGCCACATGATTCCTTTTTATATGATCTGTCCAGAATAAGCAAATCTATAGATAGAGACAGAGAATAGACTAGATTGCAAGGTGATGGAGTATTGTAGGAAGGTGAGGGCAGCTTAGGGATATAGGATTTCTTTTGGGGTGATGAGAATGTTCTAAAATGGATTGTGGTGGTGGCTGCACAAGTCTGTCTATGAGCATATTAAAAGCCATTGAATTGTACATTCTAGATGTATAGAGTTATATCTCCACTGAGTTGTTAAAAAAGGAAAGGAAAAAAAAAGGCTGGAGGGGCAGGAAGTGAAATGGGGCTCCCCCTTCCTTCTCTGACCACAGTTAGGTCTCTTATTTTTCCACAGCTATGAAAGCGCCAACATCGAAAACTTCTTCAGCGGGAGCTGGTCCATCTTCTGGGTCAAGATGGCTTCCTGCTGGATATGTGTGCTCTTGTACCTGGGCACCCTGGTCGCTCCTCTCTGCTGTCCCTCTCGGCAGTTCTCCGTGTAAGGATGTCTGTAGTCTCCTGGGTTCGGCAGGCCTGCAGCCTGGAAGTGCCATCATTCTAACAGTATCCCAGGTGTTTAAACAGTGCGTGGTGCCCTGTGCTTGAGTGGGTCTGAAAAGCCTTTCAGAAAAAAATCTGATTTGCTTTTTAATTTGGAAATTCTAAAAGAAACTGCAGTTTGTCCCAAAGGAATTGAAAGTTTCCACCAAACTGATCATGGTTGAAATGTGTAAGCCCTAGAAACTGGATAGTAGTTGATTTCCTTCTGCATGTTTTTACCAAAACAGAGTTTGGGGCACAGCATCTTTTCACGGGGCGGGGGGGGGACCCTACCTTGTGTGGCCTGTCATTCTCATCCTTGAAATAGAAAACATGCTCCAAATCCTCAGACCTCAGCCCCTGACAGATCCAGACCCTCTCACTCCTGCTTCCTGGAGTCTCATCCCCAGAGGCTTTGAGGGCAGAACTCATGGCTTGCAGAGCCTCTGGTATGTTATAGGTTATGGGAGAAAGCACCTGCACCCTCAGCGCTGCTTCCTCATGGCACCCATGCGTTTCCCTTTAAGTTGTGGTGCTGAGAATCAGACTCCACTCAGCCTTCCCCCTTCCCAGGGGTCTTCTCATCTTTCCTGGGTTCAGCATCTTTGTAATAATGTGAAAAAGCACAATTTGCCTAATTACCACCTGTCTGGTTACCCACTGTTATCACAACCAAATTTGAGTCACTGTAGTATGTATGACTCTTTTTAATGTTGCTTAACATAGAACAAGATTCATGTTGTTTCCTTTGCCTACGCAATGGAGGGCTACCATTCTTCCTTGTTTGTGCTGTTAATAATAATAGTACTTTAAGGATCTTAACTGAAAAGTTGCTTCTTGAGGAAGCCTTCTGCACCCCTCTTGCAGTTGTTAAGGTCAGTCCCTTAGTTCCTCCTCCACCTCAGGCCTTTAAATTGCAAAAGCCAAAGAGCCTTTGTTTTCTGGATCTGTAACATGACCAATGTTCATGTCCATGTTGTCTTCCTTGAAGCAGATTTGCTGAGGTGAGAATACCCTGAGGTAACAATCCCAGGCAGCACCTCAAACAGCACTGACTTGATGAGGCCTGTTAGGCAAGTTGTGGAGGTGGCCAAACATACCTAGAAGAAAAGGAGGGATGGCGTTGAGGGTATTTAATTAAGTCATAAACAGTATCCACAGAAATTTCCAAAATTCATACTTGTAATACAGAAACTTGACGTTCAGCAACTACTCAAGAAGATGTCTGTTTTCCGTTTTCTCAGCCAGGAAATAGGTTTTCTCAGTGGGAAGTCATTAATGACACTAGTGGAGATGCTATGGGGGTTCTCCTGTGAGTGTGTCTTGCATGGTGGAAAGAATCTTCTTGAGCTCCCTAGAAGCTAGGGTCTGAGAATAAAAAGACCCAGCCTAGACATTATTTCTGTGCCCTCCTGTACCCTGCTGTCCAGGGTACAAGTTGCAGTACAAGTTGGACAGAATTGGGTTGTACCCAAATTGGACTTCCATGTGCCAAAATATTGGTGGGAAGCTTACTCAAACTCTTTGTTTCTACTCCCTCCCTTGCCCTCCTCCTAAGAAACCCAAGGGGAAACATACAGGGGATGAATTCCTTCAGAATTTTTCTTATTTATAGTGTCTGAGGTTCCGTTTTAAGAAACACTCAGTATGTGTGTGTTCATTAAAAAGCCCCTTTTTGTAAACATCATCAAATTTCTTTTTGTAAGGCAGGAGCTCTTTGTACTCAGCAGCTCAAAGATCCATCCGGAGTCATTAAATGAACAGCCCCATGCTACCCTGAGGAACCCTAAATAAGCCAGTGTGGGCCGGGAGAAGACTCAGGTAGCAGGGCTGTGTATCACACACGGTGGACTGCCTTTTGGAAACACTATGAGAAGCAGATCGTAAGCCAGGGTAGGATCATCTCTAGTCGTTGTATTTTCCTCCTGCTGAGGTCTAGGAGATTCCTTGATTTGGTCTTCTAAGCTGCTTCTGGCAGCTGGCTGGTATGACTTCAGAAGTGGCCTGTGTGCCAGGTCAAGGTTGAGCTGACAAGGCCATGTATCCCTTGGCTGGCCTTTGTTGGCCCCCTTTCCTCTGCAGAAAGAAACTCAGGGAAACAAAACAAGGGAAGCTTGCCAGTGGAAGGCCCTCGCAGCTTCCACTGGAGCCAGCCCAGCCAGTGCTCGTCTTCCAACTCACAAGTCTTGCTTTATAGTTCCCTCCGGAAGGTTGGTCTGATGCCAGAGGAAGAGGTACATTTGCTCTGATTTTTATTCTTAACTGAAAATGTTAACAAGTTTATCTGGATGATTGAAAGAGACGTGAATATGCTCTGAGGACTGAGGGCATATAAAAAAGAAGTTGTTAATGATTATTAGTTGTGATAAACAATACTCAGGTGATGAGTCAGCATTCATGAGTTTAAAGAACCTACATTTTTGTGCTATTGTGATTTAAGAAACTGAAAAAATTATGCCAGTTGCTTTGAGTTGCCATAACAGTGGTGTTAATTTGATTAACTCACTGGTATCTTTAAAAAATAATAGATCTTTGCTTCCTACAACTTTTTGTACATGTACTTTTTAAAATTATATTTCCAGAAGCTGCTGGTCAGACACCTTCAGCGAAGAAAGTTGAAGCTTTTTTAAAACCGCATATGTTTTATCTGACGTAGAAAATTGTTCCCTCATCTTAATGAGTAAAAACACTAAGTGGGAGAAGGGGTTCTTATGGGAGTGTCATACCTGACTCAAGAAAAGAGGTTATTTCTATTAGAAGCCTTTTAAAACCCTACCATGTTCTTACTGGGTTGAGTTTTTTAAATACTGGTTGGTTTTGTTTTTGTCTTAACTGTTTCTTGAGAACTTGTCTGCAGGAACTGTTTGCCCAGAGATATTTGTAGCTTCTTTGCAGAGGAGACGGACTGGGGGTGGGGTGGGAATGGGGTTGTGGGAAGGGTGCAATTATTTGGGCTTTGGGGATGTTTCTATACAACTTTGCTTTTTTCCAATTCCTCAGAGGTTTCTATATTATGAATGACCTCAGTATAGTATTAATCCCCCACACGAAAATTTTCACCCTGTTTTTTTAGGATGATTATTTAATTTTTGCCAGAATTTTACTACCATTGGTGCTTCGTGTTACCCTGCAAAGGGAATTCCAGAGCTTTGGCTATTTTTAAACTATCTAGGCTTTTTTCCTCCCTTTATTGCCTCTCTCAGTAGTATCTCATTTTGGTATACACTAGCATCCTCACCTCGTGGAGATGAGAGAGGGCTCGACTTACCACTAAAAACTAAGCCAGACCCCGCACGCCTGGAAAGGAGGCTTGTGCCCTCCTTCATCAGGGCAATGTAGTTGCTCTTGGCCTACAGAATTCTGTAATTTGCTAATAAATTTAGTTTTGCATTTCAGGTAAGGTGGGCTCTCTAATGTTGGACCTTTAACAAAAAGGTTGGACTGGAGAGCTGTTCACACAAATCTTTAGGTCTCTTTTTTTATTCTTCCTCAGTAAATCATTCACAGAGATGGTCATTTTGAAATGTTGAAATATTGGGCTTTAATCAAATAATTTCAAAGAAAATTTTTTTCAGAAAAAAAATGAAAATGGGGAAGGCTAGATTGATAAATGCATCTACTCATTGAAAATGGACTGAGTGTGGAGACTCATACCTGTAATCCCAGTACTTTGAGATGCCAATGTAGGAGGATTGCTTGAGTCCAGGAGTTTGAGACCAGTCTGGGCAACATAGTGAGACCTTGTCTCTACAAGAAATAAAAAAAATTAGCCAGGTATGGTGACACATGGCTGTAGTCCCAGTTAACTTGGGAAGCTGAGGCAGGAGGATGGCCTGAGCCCAGAAGGTTGAGGCTGTGGTGAGTTGTGATCATGCCACTGCACTCCAGCCTGGACAAAAAGAGTGAGATCTCACCTAAAGAAAGAAAGAGAGAAAGAGAAAGAAAAGAAAGGCATATGTCCCAACTCACCTCTATAGAAGTAATCATATTCTTGTGAGTAAAATGATGGAAGAACTTTTAAAGGGAATCCTTTTTGTTAAAGGATCCTGGGAAATTCTCTCAGGTAAAGAAAGCTTACAGCAGATGTGTAATATATGTCTCGAGAGCTATTTATAAGAAAGAGGATTGTTTTGCTTTCCTTTATTAAAGATTTAAGCTTTTTTTTTACTTTGCAAAAAAAAACTCTACAAAATTTTATAGATATAACTTTGCTAATTTTTAAGACTTCTGAAAAAATTAACTGTAGCCAAATTATGTGGCCACATTTTGCTATTTTAGAATTTGAAAATGCAATATGTGTGGTAAATCTACTGTTTGAAATGTGATATGATTAGAATTTTGGTAACTTTTAGAATAGTTATTTTTCCCCTTTAGTCACAAAGCCAGTTATGGATTTATATTTGTTTTTGAATGTTAATTTGTCTATAAAGTATCTGAAGTTGACTTGTCTTTTCCTATGTAAGAAACTCAAAATGTGTTAATTCTGTACTTTAATAAAATTTAAAATGGAAAACCATACTTTCTTTTCTCCTTCTGTTATATACATACAAAGGAAGACCTCACCAAAAAAAAAATTAAGTTTTGGAGGATAGGCCTCTTGTGCAGGCTTTCCCAGCTAGGTAGGTGTTCTAGGAACCCACTGGCATAAGTGTACCAACTAGCATTGTTGTGAGAGGCTGGCATTCAGATTCAGTGAATGTTTTTTTTAAGGTTCTTTCAACACGTTTCCCATTTCATGATGGTTGATATATGAGCACACCTGCCCACACTGCACTGAATGTTCAGCAGTTTTTGACCAAAAACAGTTTGACTCCCATTTCTCACCATCCTTATTTACTCTATCTTAACCCAAGCAACATTTTTTTTGTTTCCCTGGATGGTAAAAGTCCTCATAGGGAAACGTTTTGCCAATGTGAAAGACATGAAACAAACAGCAAAAGGACTAAAAGCCATCAAAATTGAAGTGTTCAAAAACTGAGCATTGGAAAAATCATCTTGATAGGTGTATTACATCAAATGGAGAGTACTTTGAAGGTTACTGAAGTTTAAACATGTAAGAATAAATACACAATTTTTTACAAATAGAGTCTGGGTTTTTTGGGGTCCCTCTTTTTTTTTTTTAGAATAGAAAAACAGGTTTATTAAATGCGCCGCAAGGAAGCAATGGACAGAATGTCAGCAATAAGGTCACTGTCTATCTTGGGTTCTTGTATGTACTGTTTTTTCAGTCTGATAACTAGGACAGTTACTAAGTGACTTATGGGCAAGTAGTGTAGACAGTGTTGACACACTGGACAAAGGAATGATTCACATCCCTGGTGGAATGGAGTGAGATAGCAAGAGAGTTCATACTACTCAGAACAGCGTACAATTTAAAAATTAGGAACCGTTTCTTGTTAGAATTTTTCGTTTAATATTTTTGGATCATGGTTGACTACAGGTAACTGAAACATTGGAAAGCAAAACTGTGGATGGGATGGGAAATATAATCTATCAATTCCTTTGATTGGGATGGCATAGAATCTTTAGATAAATCTGGGGAAGATTGACAAACCATATTGAGTCTTAAGGTCTATAATTTTATCTTTCATCTGTATGTAGCTTCTTAGATCTGTGTCTTAGTTTTAGGAATATTGTTTAATGGAAGGGCAAGAAGCCAAAAATGGAGTAACCTTAGCTAAAGTTCAGCCATTTTCACACTGCTTAGCTCTGTCATGTGTTCTTAGGAAAATAATTTGCCCTCAATCATTAACAAAGAGCAGAACTGGTTTATTGAGGTAATCACTGATGATTGTCTTGCAACACCCCATGCTTTGTACTAACTAAATACTTTTACCCCAAATATTTGTCTTCCTGC